TAATACACACCCGTGTAACACCTCCTATATGCCAGGCATTATTCTAAGTGTTTACTAGCCTGCAAAGTGGACACTACTGTCAGATAATCGTCCTTTAGTGTAGACAGTGAAGTAAAAGCATAGAGAAGTAACGTGACTAAGGTGAGGCTGGGATTTGAACGCAAATGGTCTTGCTTTCAGCATCCACAGTTTGAAAAGCCTTCCTAAGCTCTTTCTCAGTACACCGCATTTCCAGGGGCAATTTAAGAGATTCCCGTGGTAGAACGATGGCTCTAAAGATGTTCATCTCTAACCGTCCACACTTGCATGTTGTTACAGAGTAAAGGACAATAACATTTACAGATAGAAATGAGGTTGCTAGTCAGCTGACTTTAAAATTAGGGAGATGCCCAGAGGCAAGCTGACTGTACAACAAGGACAGGCCAGCGGGGCATAGTGGCACATGCTTATAACCCAAGCACTCTGGGAGGGTGAGGCAAGAGGATCACAAGTTCAAGCCCGGCCTGAGCAACTTAACAAATTAGGAACCTGTCTCAAAATGGGGTGGGGAGGTAACTCTCACTGTGAAAGCCCTGGTACCAAAACCAAAGCAAAACAAAAAACAAAAGGACAGAATTAGCTAGGTGATCTGGGTGCACCTGATGCAGTTACAACAAGCAGGATCTGAAGACAGAACCAGAGGAAAGGCAGTGTGAGAAGGGTCTGGCTCAACACTGCTGGCTTGAAATGGGATGATCGTGCCCTTGACCCAAGAATGCAAGTGGCTTCTAGAAGGCAGATCAGGCGAATTCATACAATTCAGAAGGAATTCAGCCCTGCTGATACCTTGACGTCAGCCCAGGAAGATCCGCTCAGAACTGTCGGATCTCCAGGACTGCAGGATAGTGAATTTGTGTCGCTTGAACACCAAGTCTGTGACAGTTAGTTACGGCAGCAACCAGAAATGACCAATAACTGCCCAGGGTCACTTTTTTAATACGTGATGAGAGTATTGACTTACACATTCCATGCCATGTCAGCCCTGGGATTCAGGAATAAAAGCACTCCGTCCCTGCTCTCTCTGATGCACAGCCCTGAGATGGGACAATCTCTGGATAATACCAGCCCAGTGTGGTGGTTTGCATAGTGTAGGTGCATAGAGTTGGAGTTCTTAAGAATTCAGTCTCGGGAGTCGCACGGCTGGCTCCAGCCCGTATCAGTCCCGAGAAGCTGGACAAGTTCCTTCACCTCTACAGAATGCTGCAGTCAGAGTTTGTGCTCCTCAGACTTCTGTGAGCTCGTGCCTTGGATATACTGAACACGGTGTCTGCACCAAGGCTGTACGCAGTACACCGGGGTCCTACTACTACAGTCTATTTATTCACTGTGTATTTGTGTGTGCTAGGAGGTGCCGTGACGGGGGGAGGATCACGTAATTTCACACGGAGGAATCCAGAAGGCAGTGTCTGAGCCAGATGTTGAGGGATGAATAGGGTCTCACATGGAAGAGCGGTCCACGAAACTGCACACAGGCACGGAGGTGTGAACAAGCATGCCATATTTAAGGGCCTCCAGATTCTTGCCTGAGCATTAAGGGGGAGACTCGCGGGGGGGGGGTAGAGAGACGGGAGGTCAGATGTGAAAAAGTCAGATGCGTCCAGCCCTGTGAAAGCGTACGCTGGATTTTATAAGGTTAGGGGCCCCAACCTGTGGGACACCACGCTCTGTTTCTAGGGCAAATGTTTTTGTAACTCTTTTACTAGGTACTAGTGGGAAATTCATAGCTAGTGCTACTTACATAAACGTTTGCAAAATACAGCACTCACTGTAGTGTAAAAGAGAAATAAAAGCAGATCCATTCGTGATAAACACTTGATGGCACCAGAAGAGCCAGAGGATATCACGCTTGCAATAAGGACGTGATGCTTTCGATTACTGTGCAGAATAAGTTTAGGATTTAAGAAGAATAAAAAGCCACTCCATTTCAGAAGCATAGGGTAATTAAAGAACAAGTATTAAAACTCTGCCGGGTGTAGTGGCGCATGCTGTAACTCCAGTTACATGAGAGGCTGAGGCAGGAAGATCGCAAGTTTGAGGTCAGCCTGGGGAATTTAGTGAGACTCTGACTCAATGTAAAACTTAAACAGAAAGAAAAAGACAGTCTCTAAGAGTATTTTACAGTATTTTAGTTCAAGCCCAGTCTGGAGTACCTAGTGTGACCCTGTCTCTTAAAACAAAACCAAACTCACACTTAAGAGGGGCACACCTCTGCACCAAATGTCTAAATACACAAACATGCTTTGTGGTTTTAAACATTATGAAGATTAAGTGACTATCAAATATACCACCCCTTTGGCTTAAGAGAAAATCCTCTGAACAATATTTGGGACAATTTTTGTGAACGTGAAGAGCAAACACATAGATTGCTGGGAGTTAATGACCCCAACCCTGGTTATTCACTGGAGTGTCACGTAAGCTGGAGGCAGGTCCTAGACTCAGGGAGTGACAGGCTCACCTTGTGCCCACAGGAGTATCTGGGTGTCCCGGGGGGGACACTGGGAAAAGTCTTTTTTGTGGAGGGCATCGCTGGCTCCCACCCACTGCATGCCAGAGGTGCTTCCCAATCTCGAGACTCTGACAATGCTCTCGTAAATCTCCAAACCCTACAACCTGCTGCTGCTTCCAAAACAGGGGACTTTGGCAGAGGAAGGGCAGTGACCAACCCTCCCCGCCCTGTCCCCGCCCCACGCCCAGACAACCCTCGGCCCGCCAGGCACCGAGAGCGGTTGGGAGCCGCTGCCTAAGATAAACAAGTTATTCATCACCGGGCCGGCCGCAGCTGGGGGGAGGTTGGCACTGCTGCTGAGGGCTTCGGAGCCCCAGGAAAGTGGGGCCCTGAGGGAAACGGGCAGGATGGCCGCCTCTTGGCACCAGTAAGAGGAGCGTCCGACACAGGTTCCCAGCCCGAGCCCCGCCCGTGGCCCTGAGGACGCACTACGGCGGAGCAGCAACGGATGCTAGGTTCCATTAGCTCTCCCGGGTGCCCGGCGTGCCACTCGCATCCCTGTGTCCTCTCACCGGGCCTCCCCCGCCCTGTGAGGCACACTCATCACCCGAAGTGACCTGGGCTTAGGCCCTGGCTTGCTGCAAGCAGGTCCCAGAGATGCCAGGGGTGGGATTTGAACCAGGGCTTGGATGTGTTTCCCATACCAGCGTCCCGCCTGCCTTCCTCCCTTCTTCCAGCCTCTCCTACTCTCCCTCTCCAGTTCTTTTCCATGAGGATCTATTAGGCGCCAGCTGTGTGCCAGCTGTGCTAGGCCCCCAAGATTCAGCGGAGCAAACAGTAGGCACCAGCTGTGCGTCCCGCTCTGTGCTGGTTCCAGGAAGCTCGGTGGGACATTTATTAGGTGCCAGGAGCGCTGCTGTCCTCTCAGGTTGTCACCCCTGCCCGGTGTGTCCCCGGGGCCGCTCCCAGGCAGGCCCAGCTGAGGCTGTGGGTGGGCTGCGCGCTCCCCTCCGAGGTCCTGGCTGCCGTCCGCCCTGGGCTGGGGGCGGGGTGGCTAAGGGCAGCGGTGCTGTGACAAAGGCTTTGTGTCCCTGAGGTTGCCCGCGGGCCAAAGCACAAAAGGAACCTCAGTGAGGCCGGGACAGCATTCCGCTTCCCCTTGGCCTTTTATACAGTTTACTGTGGGAGATGCGAAAATTTTCCACACCAGAGCGCAAGGGAAAAAGTCAGAAAAACAGGTTCGCAGGCCAAGGGCCACAGCTGGGGGCCCAGGTGGGCCTCCGCCGGCCCCGTGTGCACGCCCACTGGCAAGGGGACGGCAGGGTTTGTGACTTTCATGCCTCTGAAGCATTTCACCATGAGTAAAAAGGGAAGGAAATCAGGAAGGCGGCGGCACTTACAGGGTGGTGCCAGCTGCGTGGGCCAGGAACACGCAGATAGAAAGGGGCGCATTTTGCTGGGGTGCTGGTGAGCATGGAGCACGTTACAGGGCGGCAGGAGCTGGCTGGGGTCTTTGTTTCTTCCTCTTCCTCTCCCTTCCTCCCTCTGCCCCCTCCTTTTTTGAGATAGGGTCTCACTGTGTAGCTCAAGCTGGGCTTGAACTATGTAGTCCTGGCTGACCTCAAACTCTTTGGGACCCTCCTGCCTCAGTTTCCCAGACACTGGAATTGGAGGTGTGCATTACCACGCCTGGCAACTCCCAGCCCTGCTTCCTCTGCACTCGGATCTTGACCAGCAACCTCTCGGAGGGTCAGTGTCCCCATCTATAAAATGGGGACGATGATCAGACGTTGTGGGGGGATGGGAACCTCCTACGCTGCTGGTGGGAATGTAAACTAGCACAGCCACTACGGAAATCAGTGTGGAGACTCCTCAAAAAACTGAAAACAGAAACTCAGTTCCACCCAGCTATTCCCCTCCTGAGTATCTTCCCCGCCCCAGGGTTAAGGACATCACACCGCAGGGATAACGCATTCCCATGTGTACAGCAGCGCGATTCAAAATAGCTAACCTTGGAAGTAGCCTGTGTGTCCATCAACAGAAGGTGGATACAGAAAACGTGATGTTTGTATACAGTGGAGTACTCCTCTGTTATAAAGAAGGATAAATGTGAGCTCATTTGTAGGAAAACGGATGCGCCTTCAGGCCAAAATGTCAAGTAAATCAGCCACGTAAGCCTACGTACCACCTGATTTCTCTTACATGAGAAACCCAAAGTATAAATAAAGAGCAAAATAAAGATGGATAATAGGAAACAGGGAGTTGGATTGTTTGCAGATGGGAAAGGAAGTGGGGAAGAAGAGGGGGAGCAAAGGGAGAGGAAGGCAGTCAGGTGGGATGGCGCACGCCTGTAATCCCACCACTTGGGAAGCTGAGGCAGGAGGATCGTTTTGAGTTTGAGGCCAGCCTGCACTGCATAGCAAGACCCTGTCTCAAAGAAGAAAAAAAAGAAAGAGAGGAAGGGAGTGGAAAAAGGATCGCGCCGTGCGGCGTCCGTGTACAACTCCCTGCAGTGACAGCAACTGCCACGTACTACAACACGTACAGAAAAAGAGCAGGTCTTCAGAAAAAGTCCGAGAGGCCGACTCCAGGACTTGCGGCTGGCTCACGCCTGGCCTGTCGGGAAGAGCCACAGATCCAGTAATTTAGAAAGAAGTTCTCGGCGAGGGAAGGACAAGGCCGCCTCCCAGAGGGTGGGGGTGCCCCCACCGGGGACCCAGACCGGCCGCCGCCTCCGCCCATCCCTCACCCCTCCAGGGTGCCTCACTGTTCCCAGAGGGGACGCAAACCACAGGCCTCTGAGCCCAGCGCTGTCACCCAAACGCCACCAGCGCATCTCACAGTGCCTGGTAAACACTGCAGAGTCCGCACGTGCAAGTGAGACGCCCTCTGCAGCGCGGCCCAGGCGCTGCTGTCGCTCCACACCGCGCTGACCGAGTCCGTCACCCTGCCGCTCACACCACAGAGCCCGGAGCTACCCTCAGACTGCCCACCATCCGCGCACCCGCCCGGTCAACAAGCGGACTGCGAGCGCGGCTTCTAAGCCAACAACGCGTGCAGAGCAGACGCACAGCAGAGGGCCTGCAGGGCCCCTTTGCTCAGCTCCTGGAATCTGCTCGCCCCTTCCACAGCCTCCCCCACTTCCAAGCAGCGCTTGAACCCGTGCATGTTCCCTCTCCGGCCCTCTGTCAGCCTTGTCCCAGCCGCCACCTCGGCCCGGCCCGGAGCAAGGACACAGCGTCCGCCTATTTCGCGTGGGTTTTGCTTCCTTTAAGTACACCCCTCTGGAAGCCAAGCCAGAGACATCTTTGAGCATAAACCGGATCCGACCGCTTTTTGTTCTAAACCTCCCTGTGCCTGCCGAGGTTCTCTGCTCTGTTCTGGCCCGTCCTTCCTTCTAGTCCTCGAAAGCTATTTCTGGCTTTGAGATCCTTGCCATTCTGTCGCCCCCAAAGGGATGTGCTTCCCTACACCCTGCTCGACAAACCTCTCCTCCGCTAGACGCCAGCCTTCGCTCGGTCTTGGTCTCCTCGGCTCCCTGAGTAATTTGCCTTCAGGGCAAACACATCGGGGTGTGGCGGAACATCACGTCCCGGAGAGACACCCTACAAGGGTGCGACAGACAGACGCAGGTGTACCCGAGGCCTTTCACAGGGGCAGCGTTTGTCCACGTCCCGCCTCCCGGATCCGCTTTGCAGGAAGCGGTCCTCTACCGGCCGCTCCTCTGAGTCATCCGCAGAGCACTCTTGGAAACCACCGGCCAGGTGGACAAGCTCACGGCCGCGCGTCCAGCCTCCCACTCCTCACCTGCGCCCCCTTGGGCTTGTCTGTGAATTAGGGTGCCCCGCCCGCCCTACAGGTGGCTGCCAGTGACAGATCTGCAGGAGGCTGGAGGTGTCCGTGTAAAACTTTTTCTGCCGGGGACGTGGCTTGTGGCCGAGCTCTTGCCTTGCAGGCATGAGGCCCAGCACCACAGAAACAACAAACTGCCCGGTGGTTAACAGCAGCGCAGTTGCAGCGACCTATTGCTCTGGCTTTCTGCGATTTATTTAGATAAAGTCACCTTCTTATCAGCTAAGGTCCTGCTACGCCACACCTGTGGGCTGGGCCGGGCTGGGGTTCACATGCCGAGCTGGCCGAAAAGGAACCCGAGGTGCCTTGTGGTCAAATGATTGGCTCCGTGTCGCTGAGACCCACACCTGGCACTGCCCACCTGCTGAAGCCCACCCACCGGGTTCCTGGCCCTGACCATACTCTTCACCTGGAGCATGACGAGCTGCCCTGCGGAAAGACAAGGCCCTGTGCCCGGCTCGGCTCGGCTCGGCTCGGCTCGGCTGCCCAGCCGGAGCGTGGAGGTTTGCAGGAAGAGGCCGGTGTCTTACCTTGTTCCTGATGCAGGTGTGGCTGCCTTGGGGTCTGTTGAGGGCTTCCAGGGGTGAAGGAGGCTGGGGGAGGCTCTGAGCAGGGAGAGCCCGGGCTCCTCTCCCTGGGCAGCAGAGAGCGTCAGAGCACAGTGGCGGCCCTCGGTCCCGGGTGCCTGCTTCTGGGAGAGCCTCCACGCGGGTCAAACTCCAAACTCCAGCCTTGGCCGCAGCCAGCAGGAGTTAAAGGAAGCGTGGATGATTTCCCCGGGCCCCTTGAACTCTGAGCAGGCCCCCGCGGGGAGGTGGCCGGCCCTGCGACCCTGCGTCTGCTTCTGTCGGAGACCTGGTCTGCTGGGGCCTGTGGCCTGGAGGGTGGGGGAGACACCGGTGCCCAGGCACCATCTTCCTGTCCCGCTCCCCGGCCCCACGCCCGTCCCTCCTCTGGCAGCCTCGGGCTCCGACGGCTGGAGGAGGGGAGCAGAGGCGCTGGCAGGCTGCAGGGAATAAAGGGAAAGTGCCAGGAGGGCCTTCACAGCCAGCGCAACAGTGACAGCGGTTGTTCAGCCTTCCCGTCACTCTCAGCCCGCGGCAGGGGACACGCGGCATCTGGAGCCCAGAGACACTGCCAGGAGGGAACCAGCCACGGCCAAAGACCCCAGAGAAGCCAGGCCCGGGGGCTACAAAGATTTTCACCGGGGGCTCAGAGCACCCAAACGTTTTTAAATTAGTCACTAGTATTTGCAGACCAAGAGACTTGAAATTCAGTCTAAAGGTGGGGCCGCACCAGGCACACATCACCGGGGTCAGCGCCCCGGAAGGTGCTGACGTAGCCCCTGCCCCGCCACACAGCGGCCCAGAAACAGTGGCGACCCCACAGCGCTTCTCTCCGGGCTGGGCTCTGCCCGCGTGCTCGTTGGCTTTGCCAGCAGCTCTCTAGGACAGGCCCGACTGTCCAGTACCCCCACTTTGCTGATAAGGAGGCAGAGGTGGGGGAAGGTGAGCCAGCTGGCCCAGCTATGAAGTTCAAGGGCCAGCGCTTGAACCCAGGTCACGCAGTTCTGGAGGCCAGCGGGGCCACGGTGGGCTCAGGGGTGCACGCAGCTGGACAGAGGGAGAGATGTACCCTCGGGGGGGTGATCTGCGACCTGGCGGTTGGACAGGTGCCTCAGCGTCGGGGCCTGCCCTGGGGAGAGCTCTACAGAAGGAACAGCTGGGGCTGCCGGGGGCGCTGGACAGGAGGCCGGGGATCTGTGGTGTGCATCCGGACGACACCACACCAGGACAGGTGGCAGATACCGCAGATGGTACGTTCTGCCCACACCCCGGCTCCAGTCCTGACTGCAGGGGAACTCGGGGAACTTGGGCATGTCCCTTGGACCTCCAAGGAAAAGTTTCAGGGAACGAGGTGTGGGGCTGGGGAGCTGCGGCCATCGGGAGAGCACATGTATGCCGAAAGGACAGTCGCAATCGGATCCAACTGTGAAAAATGTTCCAGAGCCTGACAGTGGTGGTGTACACCTCTTTGGGAGGCTGAGGCAGGAGGATCACTTTGAATTCAAGGTCAGCCTGGGATATACATCGATTTCAAAGCCAGCTTGACTTGCATAATGAGACCCTGTCTCAAGCCCCCCCCCCATCAATATTCTAGAAAAGTCCCACAAAGTCTGTGATCTACTTGGCTACCAGCTTTGTCACCCCTGAGAATTTTTCTGATGGCTTTTCGGAGAATGGGGAGGCAGGGCCTGGCTGTGCACACCTACAATACCCACAGTCTGGGGACTGAGGCAGGAGGATCACACCTGCAGCTTCTAAACACCTCTTTGCAGACAGGTATGCGACATGCCCTCTGCAGGGGATTAAATAAGGTAAATAAAGATTAAATGAGCCGGGTGTGGTGACGCACGCCTGTCATCCCAGCACTCGGGAGGCTGAGGCAGGAGGATCATAGTGCATTCGAGACCAGCCTGGACTACAAAGTGAGCTCAAGACCAGCCTGAACTGCATAGCAAGACCCTGTCTCAAAAAGACAAGGAAAAAAAAAAGATTAAATGAGCTCGTGCAGATGGAGAAGGGCCTTCAGGACGCTGGGTAAATCCGCCTCCCTAAGCAACGTGCTCCTTGAGGCTAACCACGCACCGCCTCGCTTGCACTTAGTCACACTAAATTCAAGCCCTATGTCCCTGAGCAGCGGATTGGAGCTGGGCACGTCCCTCTCCCCGTCCCCTCTACCCCTCCCTCCTTCCCCCTTCCCC